AAAGCTTTAATACATGTCTGCCTCTTGAATGAAATCAGACACCCATGTGTTATGGTAGTCATAATATGGAACAATATGCCTGGACAATTATATAAACTAATAGTAAGCTACGTGACATTTTTGCTTTTTGTTTTAGTAGTTGAAGTGTTCTTAAATAATGTAATTGACTCATTTATATTATCTTATTTGCATTTTTTCTCTTTTATTTTATTTTATTTTTTATTATTATTTTTGTCATATTGACTTATCTTTGAGATAAAAAGATAATTTCCTCCTGCTGGCGAATCGTCGCTCCGCCTGTGTCTGCACTTGTATTAAGTCTTACTGTTTTATAAGATAATGTAACCAAAATTTTCCCAAACACTCAGAACGCCAATACATTTCAGACGAGAATTATGTACTGTATTTTAGGCGTATATCTATTTAAGGTTTCGATACTTGAAAAGATAAGCAGTGGGAGGGTACTTGAAAAGATAAGTAGTGGGTGAGATAGTTTTGGTCAGCAAGCACTTTGAGACCAGTGCGTTATACATGTCGATAATAAGTCCATTTTGAACTGTAGATGTGAAATATTTTTAATTGGTGAAATGTAAATTTAGTACATTGTTTAGCGCAAGTTATCTAAATCAGTATACACTGCTCTGCTACTACTGTAAAAAGTATATAAATATCCTGCTTAGTTGGGAAGGGTCGGAACACGATTTGACCCCCAATGTTGACCCCCAATGTATAGATTACTATCCTGTGCTGTTATTTTTGTTTAAATGTTTTTTGGTATGGAGTTATGAGCCTTTAATTACAGATTTTCTTTAAACAAAGGCACTATTTTGGTTTATCAACGATAAAATCTGAACTAAGAAATATAAGAAAACCCGCTGGCAGGATTTTAAAGCACTAAACGGTGTCATGAAACCGCGATGAAACGGTGATGGTGGGTATTCAGGTAAAAGACAAATTTGAGAAACCATTTTTCAATTTTTACCCATAAGATGACATATATGTAAATGTTAATTAATCTAACCAATGAACACTGAAGATGTATATATTGACCAAAAGGATGTATGTTAGGCAGTGAATAAGGAGTTTTGGGCGAAGGATGACAATATACTTAACCAGTAAATTACCTTACCATGCTATGATATCACAGTTCACTGTTCAAATGCTCTTTAGTTATATATTTCTTTCAGGCTCAAACACTGATCCACTTCCGGGCAACTGTCATCCAATGTCTACTACAAAGTAAAACATTCTCTCCAAATTTAAAAGTTTTCTGACAGCCTATTCCTGTGAGAAAATGGGAGACAAAAGGTAAGTTCCCACATTATTTTTTACACTACCTCATGATACAGTCATGGAAATTTCAGATAAGAATCGGTTTGCTAATTTAACTCGATTTTTCACTTCAACCGTTTAGACCCTGGTTTGGAATCAAGACCACTGAAAAATGTTTTACCCTACGAAGAAATGTTCCCTTCTCCAAGAAGAACATGTTTGTAAAAATGTACACAATGGAGCTGTTTGTAAATTGCTCTAACGTATTAACTGTGACCGCCCTAGTCTAAGTTACTGTTTTATGCCATCTGCATGATCAGACAAGCTGCAAGTTAAAAGTTTGATTTTACAACCGTTCTCACTATACAGACACCATAAGCGTCTGTATATATTTATCATTGTTTCTGTCCGTGTTGTCGCCATTGCTGTCTGAAACATCAGCCTCCATAACGCTAGTTTTAGACAACGATTAATTTATACACACTATGCCTGTTCTTGAGGTTTGAAAGAAGTTCTTATTTTTTAAAGGATTGTTTGTCTTATTCTTGTATATCTCTTTCTAAGAGTTTAATATGTGAAGAAAATTTTAAAAAAATTATATTAGTTGCAGTGTATTTGTTGATTGAAATTATAAAATTTTGCAAACTTTGCTGTCTGGTTACAGTTTTCTGTGTGGAAGTTCGTTCGAGCAGGTGTTTTGATCGATTATTTATAACTGAACTAGTAGTCCAGATGATTTTTAAAGAAATATTTGTTTCTAAGAGGTGCCACGTTGCCAACCTTTCGGATGCACATGCGACAGTTTATGTCACACCTATTCAGTTTCCTTATAAGACGTTTCTTAATATCTTATATGGAATTATGACTTGTACGTACATGTATTTGTCAGAAAAACATTATATAGATATAATATTTTAGATGAGAAAAGGAGGACTGTGAAAGGGACTACAGTATTGAGGAAAAATTTGTTAATAACAATTTTTAATCGTCATATTATAAATACAATTAGTGGATCTTATGGTCTCTCTCTTGATGTAATGATGGTAAAATTCATACAGAGGGGTGTATAATAATTTGTATTTATGTTATAAAATGTGCGTATGTCCACAGCTATTGTGTATTTTCTGAACGATTAATCATATTAGATATGGTATCTGAAATAAAAAGCATTGCTTATAGCAATTTACACCTGTGAGGTGATCATTTTAAAATAAAAGCACGTGGAATTGGGATGGGACATCCTTTTTGACCAATGTTGTATATATATATATATATATATATATATATATATATATATATATATATATATATATTGATATCTCTAAAGGAGAAGGTGATTTTAGAGGCAACAGTGTCAAAAAATTCATTCCCGATGAAGAATTTGAGCTAGGATCTTTCTTTAGGTCGGTAATTTCACTATTTTGGAAACGCAAAGCATGTTTAATACACATACAGTAACTGTAGTAACTATGTGCATGTATTTACCTGTATTGGATAAGATTGAGTGAAGCACAAATGTTTGCAAATTTTTGAAAATGACGTTTTTTCTTATGGCATTCAAAAGGCCGTGACAGAGAGTTTCAACATCGAGAATTAAATGAACCATAGTTTGTAAGATGTCCTTTTTATGTTTGTAGGGTTTTTAAGTATAGTTTTCCTATGTTGACACTGCCATTGTTACATTTTAAATGGAGTTTCGTTACCTTGTTGGTTGATAGTTTACTGTGAAGTTTGACGGAGGAGCCAGATCTCAGTTTTGAGGTTCTTTAAAGCTGCAGGTAACATCTAACAGGCCGCAAGTGAAATCACTGAATAGGCAGAAAGAAACAATATGAGACGCAATGTCACAAAAACGAAATCTCTAGCAGAAAATTTTACCCAATCTGTGCCAAAACGTCAATTAGTTGATATTCGAGGGACTCGTTTCATTGAGGAATCTCATTTTAAACTTTTAGGCATTTTTATCACAAACAATCTTCGGTGGTCTGAACATAATAATTTTATCTGTAAAAAGCATGGGCACGATTGTATTATCTGCATCAACTTAAACGTGCCAAACTGTCCCCATCAGGTATATCAATCCGGTCTGTTGTTGAATACGCTTGCCCTGTTGGCATCCCGGATGAACTATTGAACAATGCAAAATGATAGAATCCATCCAGTCTTGTGCACTTAAATTTATATGCCCTGAGCTACCATATGTTTATGCCCTAATTAAAGCAAAGCTCATTGCTCTTACATACCGGCGCATGGAAGTCATTCTTTGCCCCCCCCCCCCCCCAAAAAAAAAAAATAATTAATAAATAAATAAGACGACAGGAACAGCTGAATTACGTATTAACTAACAAACCTTAAAGAAAACTAAGACATAGCCAGTCAAATTTTAATGTACCAAAATTCAGAACCGAACGTTTTAAAAACACCTTTATCCCTTTCTTTATCAAACTTTTAGTGGTCTGTGTTTTATTTTGAAACTCTTGGTCTTTCTTGTATACCTTTTATATTCCCTTTGCTTTTATTAAACTTTATTTATCTTTAAACTAATTTTGTTTTTTATATCCTTTATTTTATGTAAATATTTTAATCATAATTTTTATTCTAATCCAATTTATGTACAACTTCAACCTTTTGGCTGCTATGTATAAATAAACTTATAATATTATAATTATCATAATATGGACAACAGTTAATAAATTAAATGCATCGTATGTTGTCGAAAAGTCGGGAGGTTATCTAAAATAATACGTGCATTTCTTGCAACACATTTAAGGTAGTGACCTGTTCGTCCACAAAATGACAGAGTCTACGTAGCGGACAAGTAGAAGGAATCGTGCTGGTCATCGCCATGTTTTTGCACCAGATTTGAAGCTTGATAGAAATACATTTAAACATGAGCAATAGAAAAGCAGCTAACCTAAGGTTTTAAAACCAGAGACCCTTTCCATGATGCTGTCGTTAGTTAGTTGTTGACGTATATATAAAGTCGTAGCCTGGCTCCCTTAACACGTGCTTCTTCGAAAGTGCTGCACAAGGAGAAGAAATGTGGACTACTGTGGTAAACGATAATGCCTCATTTCAACTGAGATTTCTGAAGCATGGTTACAGTAGAATGATGTCTCTAGGAGGATGCAGCTCATCCATACTTTGCGTTATAGTATCATTGTGATTGCAGAAGACTTACTGCACTGGAGTATATTCTGCGTTTTGGTGCGGGTGTTGCAGTATTTTTTTTTTTTTTTTTTTTTTTTTTTTTTTTTTTTTTTTTTTTTTTTTTTTTTTTTTTTTTTTTTGTATCAATGGTAAACACTGAACCAATAATTCGCTGCACTTATACTTATCTTTTTATTTCAAATTTTAGATTCCCTTCAATCAAAGGAAAGAGACGAAGTGTTGAAAAGGTAGAAGACATGCAAGACTTCTCAAAATACTTGACAGAGATGCTCTCTCAGCAGATGTTAGCAGCGCAAGACATACAAACGATTGACAAACAAGAGTTTGGGATAGGTTCAGTTTCGGGCGAAATGAAAATCAAGGAGGGGTTTCAACTCTTTAAAGATTTCTTTCTGAAAATATACGCTGGAAGTAACGGGGCAAATGAAATGGCACTTACAATGAAATGTGTTGATGATTTACTACTTACAGTCCTTTCAGACAATAAAAAACATGTATGTATGGAACATTATGTCGGGGTTTTTATTAAAAAGTACTTCGAGTATTTCAATCCAGCAATGAATGATACGGCCATTAGCACACGGCTCATGTTTTTAGGTAGTAGCTTTGACGGCCTTGGGGTCCCTATTTTGTTTGACAGGGAGCATAAAACTCACCTTGAAATATCAGATGTGGATGTCATGATGGAACTATCACCTCCTTGTTACCCCGCTGTCAAGTATCGGAGAGAGTCTGAGGCCACAACAGAGGCAGCATTGCTCGTAGATGGCCGAGGCTGTCACCCCGGTTATGTCAAACTTGTGATCCAGGGCGAACACTTTCTGTTTGATGTGCCAGGAATTTTGGATCATGGGACTATTTGTATGAGCAACAAATTCATGCAAGTTTTCATTCAAGATCCGGTTCTCAGAAAAGGCACATTGGAAAACATTTTAGAAAGGGCAGAAGTAACTTTTAATGGACCTGCGGTATCATTCAGATTGCCACTTATTTCTGGTGTTGAACGCAACATTGTTCTGACAGGCGATATCGTTGGTTCATTTCCATGGAATAAGTGGCCACACGAAGCAGATGAATGGCTCAGCCGTGAGAGAACGAGTGGTTGGCCCAATGCAGACCAAACCAAAGCCGTCGAAGAGCTTGGCTGCTATCTTGTTCCAGTTGCTAATCCTGGTGATAAAGATTGCCGAACCGAATGGAGGATCTCTTTTGTTTTAGCTGAGCGACATCTTGCCTCATCTTTCAACCAAGCCCAACGACATGTTTACCGGATCATAAAACTAATACACAAACACCGATTAGGAGACCTCGGCGTCCTTTCTACCTACCACCTGAAGACAACACTATTTTGGCTGTGTGAGCGCATTCCACAGGACAGGTGGACAGATGAAGAGATGGGACAACGATTTTTCGACTTCTTTGATCTTTTACTTGGTTTCCTCTCCACGAAGAGCATCCCTAACTATTTCATACCAGAAAACAACATGATAGATTACATGGAGGAGCAATTAGTCAACGAAAACGTAAAAATCTTGCAAGATATCCTTCTCGATCCAAAAACAATCCTCGAAGAAATTCAAGCAAGGTATGACCTTCATTTTGATCCGCTGAAGTACTTGTTTTCAGAAATGCCTCTCGGGAATCTTTTCCAGACGTGCGCATTGACACCGGAATTGGATATTGAAAGAGGCTCTCTTGATGATGCCTTTGATGCCACGAGAGAGATGTTCAACGAATTATCGGAAAAACACCCGGACAGTCTCTTGAGACCAATCTTGAAATTAGTAGACGCTTTTCCAGGGAATGCCCAGGACAATATCTTTAGACAAATGAGGGGAGGATTTAAAGAGGCAGTTGAAAATTGTACTAGAGAAGCGATGGACTTAATGGCGGATAAGCTCAGCGGAGTATTCAAACCACTGTCTGATGTTGTACGAAACCAAATGAAAACATACGAAATAGACGATGCAATTGAATTTTACTCGAAAATATTGGATCTGGCGTTGGACAGTGACTCAGACCAAGAACAAATACAGGAATATAATGCCAATCAGGAAGCAGCATCAAGGGAAATATTGTACCTAAGAAACCAGGAATGTGATGACCACCATAATGCAAAACGAGAATCATTTGACTCTCTTGATGAGAACAAGATCGCTGGTAATAAAGAACACCGGCTGTTAGAGTTCGCCAGGAAACCTGCTTACCAGTTAGAGGAATTAGACTTAGACTAGACAAATCCCAACAGAGGAACATGCCGATGATGCAGGAAGCAGCCTCTAAAAGTCAGTTCGATTCGATCGAAAGAGGGCGAATCTGACAATGACAGGGCAGGAATTGTTTTACTTTATAAACGATGGTAAATGCCGACTAAGACGGTAACAGCACATTTAATCAGAAACTATGTGTAGGCATGATATTATATAATGCTATAGATCTTTATAAATATACATTTTAATATTGTAAAATTCTGAATAAGACGTTCCATCTTGATAATTGCTTACTACAACAGACATGGGACTTGATGACGAACAAGACTATCATTAAAATTGTTTAAAACGGTTGCTTCAATTAACGAAGGGTCTGAGGAGAAACAGAAAACAATAAACGGAAATACTTTTTATTCAAGGGATGAAGTGTAGAAACGTTAGAACCAAAATACGGGTCCTTACACGGGGAATATGCCGACGAACAGGGAGCAATAAAAGAAGTTTTGAACGTATACCTTGAATATAACGAGCACGGTGACACTAGAGCAACTGCACTTTGTCCTGCATCACTTCTTCTGATATGAGCGTTCCACGGAGGAAACAAACTCGGTGTCACCGTGCTCGTTATATTCAAGGTACTTATCTATGTATTTACATCAATAAAACAAGCACCTTTACGAATATGCACGCACTTATGCAATATACAGTATATTATACTCTGTTGAACCGTAATGTAGGGTAGTGTAGCGTAGTGAATCGTAGTTTAGCGTAGCGTACTGTAGTGCAGCGTAGTGAAAAATAGTGTATTATAGCGTAGTGTGGCGGTGTGGCGTAATGAAGTAATGAAATATAGTATAGTGTTTTGTAGCGTACATGCAGTGTTGTGTACGCATTACCAGGACTGGGGTATTCATGGTCCACGGTACTTTCCAAAAACAGGGGGCACTTAGAGTCTACCAAGTGTTTGCATTGCCACACTTTAATTCTGCATATTATTTTAGAAGCCCTGATATCGAGGGTAGGTCCAGTTCACCCCTTTCCAATAGGTTTGAACTACCAAGGAGGGGGAAAGATAAGTTCGTTGATAAATTTTGTATGCATTTCTTATTTACGCACATTGCACTTAAAATAATATCTGAACCGAGTAACAACATATCCTGGTTTTTCTTTATCCCAAATGTGCCCATGATATGTCATGCTTAAATTGGCAGCATCGGGCATAAAGATAAAATAATTCAAAACCGTGATAAGGATTTAGACAGAGCTGTTAACTTTTATCTTGTAAGTACCGCCATCCAAAAATATTCATGGTTTTCAAATACCAGGTATAACAGAAAATTTAAATGTTCATAATATTTGGTGATTTAATTCTCTTTAAGAAGTTTGGACTCCCTTGACAGTGCAGTGAAATTTTGAAAGGTGCCTTTGGAACGTCTTATTTAAAAATGAATGTCACAAGGGCTTAAGGGTTACGGTAAAGAGTACTGAAAATGGGAAATGATATTGAATGATGTAAAGAAGAAATTTCCTCCAGAGAATTAAAAAAAATATTGGTTGAAACGTATTATGCTGCACTCCGTAAAAATGGTGAACAATCCCCAAAAACTTCCAGAATATTTTAAAGGATGTGCAAAGATTGTGAAATCTTGGCTTTCAAGAAACATTATTGTTATTGGTAAGATTATTCTTGTCAAGTAATTATTATTGCCACAGTTTTCATTCTTATTTTATTTTACCAGAAAACTTGCAATCATATTTACACTTTATGTTTAGGTATGTAAAGAAAAGGTATGTTTTAAGATGTTTATGTGAAAGACATGGCGGTGCTCATGATTATCAAGTTGGGGAATTGAAAGTGATCAGTGCACTTGGTTTAGCAACAACATTTGCAAGTTCGTCTGGCAATGGGCGCTGGAAAATGATATCCGTGTATACATGTATGTTTGGGAATTTAAGAATATTAAGAAGTGTATTTTGTAACAATATTTATCCAGAAAAAATGGTGACTTTAGACATTTGTAGCGACTATTTTATACACTTATACGACTTTTATAGATATTGGTTGGTCATGTTGAGAGTAAAAATGCATAATTTCTATGAATGAAGAAGGACGCGAGCGGTGTAGTTAGGAAAAAAGTACATGTGTAGAAATATCACAGGTGACGGGACATACATTTATGGAAAATCAAGTTTCAAGATATTGTATTAATTATCAGTATTATACCCAGTTTGAATTAATTATCAGAGGAGTGCAATTTAAAAGAAAAATCTGACTTCTGGAGCAGTAAGGTTGAAACTTGTCCTGAACAAATTAGAATGCATTTTATTCCCAGATGAAATGTACCATATGTGGTCAATTACATTATAGAGCAGTTCTGTGAAAAATATTGTATGGGATTTATCCTATAGAGAAGTATATAAGCAAGTAAGATTTCGCAATATGTTACCTGTAAATATTGCCCTTCTGTGCAATTTGCAATATGCCATGACCACTTCTTTGTAGAGAGTTAAACATCTCAAAATTATGGGAAATGATCAATTGTGACAAACATTCTAAACAGGTAAAAGACAGGGAAATCATACTTTGCAGTTGTATTAAATGATAATTAATTATAAATCTATCATGCACTTGTTTAAGAATTGAGAGAAAAACGTGATATTTAGGCATTATTTGATTAATACTCGTATGCTTTAATCTAAATTGAACATAGTTGTTTTTGGTGAATAAATTTAATTAATAAACGTTTTGTTATTTTTACAAGTACTAGTTCTATTGATCAGATAACATACCAATGATAACAATAACTGTTTTGCCACTTCAAAGACAATTCAAGTAGATAATTTAAGTAATTGATAGCGCAATGAAAACTCTTAGAGACTGTCCGAAAAGGTCGTGCTTTGAAGATTATTTTACCTGATCTACACTTTGATGAAGCCTTGAACCTTGCAAATATGTGTACTTTAGATAAACGGAGGGAAGATCTGTGCAAAAGTTTCTTTTACAAAATAACTGATAGTTCAACCCTCTGACAAACTGAATAACATTTAATTGGGCAATCCAATCGTCTTTTAAGATCAAACAATAAAAACAAAGTGTAGAAATTTAAAACCGACAGATTACGATGCTATTTTATTCCATATGCGCTTTTGAATTTCAAATAGTATAACGTTGTCTTTTATCCTAGGAACAGTAATTTTAAAGTGATATAAGAGGGTGTTACAGAAAGTCGTATCAAGTCAAGACAAGACAACTCAAGACGAGTACACATTGAGACCCCATTCCCAGAAATTAGATCGATCCAACTATATCGACCTAACTCCCTGAGGGTTCACGCTAAATAATTAATCAATTATCAGAGGAGTGCAATTTAAAAGAAAAATCTGACTTCTAGAGCAGTAAGGTTGAAACTTGTATTGAACAAATTAGAATGCGTTTTAGCTGTTAGCCGAGCAGACACGAAGGTTAATTACCCCGCTACAGCTTGAAGTAGGCGGGACGGACATTTAAGCCGGATTATCTGATAGTAGTCTAGTGAGACTCCCCATGGGAATAGATCGATCTAAAATCTATGCGAATGCGCCCTTACACACAATTACATACACTAATGTGTGTAGTTGGACACCACACAAGTTGGCCAACTTTTAACATAAGTGACCCCATTTGTTTACACATTCGTACCGTCATAAAAAATCTCCTTCACGCAGAACTTAAATGTGAGGAGACATTAAATCTGTGTTTATTCATATGGGGGAAACGTTCAGAAATACATGTAGATACAGGTGTTTACAATTCACTGTGCCTCCATATACTGAAACGAGTCAATATGTTAACTTGTATATACTGCCCCTTTTCAATTTAATTTAACTCCCATTCAGTCATTCTGTAATTCAGTATTTCATTGCTTCCTATATATCAATCCTTTTTCTATTTAAATAGACTTTATCTTTTTTATTTGCTTTTTTTGTCTAAAAACGAAATAAATATCTCCTAAGAATTAAAAAATCTGAAGTAATTTAATATTTACATAGGTGTTTGCATACTTCATTATTGAATGTCAAAAGCAAAAAATCCCCACATGTTAGGAAATATAAATTTAAAGGAAGAAAGTTGACTACATCGCCTCAATTCAGAAACATTTTAAGCGGATAAATCTACGAACACACAGAATAATCCAACTTAGTCACCTTCTACCGGTACCTGGGTTCCAAACTTCAAAAGTTTTCAAAACGGGTAGAAAAACGATATAAATTTTAAATGTATCTTCGTAGAGCATTAATTCTGGGGTCTATGAATTTAACAACTTTTTGGTTATAATTTTTACCCTTGGCTCCCAGGTTTTATTTTTAATGAATTTGACCTTATTTCTCAATGTAAACCCTTGGCCCGATCTTCTCCATTGCCACCACTGTCTGGTTCTCATCTACCGCAATGGGATCCCTTCTCGGGTACGTGCAGACATACAGTTTGGGTGTTTTGGGGGACGGGGGTCTGAAAACCGTGAACAATATACATTGTACATCTACATTTACCGCGTTAGAATAAATAAATTGAGGTTGTTTTGTAGAGTAATAAAGAGGAGAGTATGAGATCTGTAGTGTATGATTCATAATCCACGAGCTTAATCCCAAACTTTTCCTGGTCTATTTTGAGAAATACTTATTTGCGGTCTAATGATCCCTTTTCATGAAGTTAAATAAATGGCGAATGGCGGTCTGAAATGAAAAATGTAAATCCTACTCATCCATAAGAAGTACAGCTACTACAAAAAGTATGTACCTGTTTACTCGGTTTAAAAATATATTGTGACGAGATATTGGCCAACTATTGATGTAGGTAACCCTATTTGTTGACACAGTCGTGTCACTATTCAGGTAACAATGCTCATGTAAGGATAACTAAAAGCTGAAGTTGAAAATGTGGGCAAACTGTACCCTTACCAAGTTCACATATTGATTTTTTCACTAGGTATTCACAGATGTTCCTTTAGGTAAACCATGGTAACATTTTCATCTGACCAACGGGATTTAGGTATAGAATAAGTTATCATCAGTCAATTGGCCTTTTGTATTGAGTAGGGAGACAGCAGTGAGGGCGAATACAGTTGTTGTGTATCATTGTGTTTCATGAAATGCTGTATACATACATTGTACAGGGGAAATGCTCATATAAAGAGATTTTAACGTTTCACTGTACCTCCAAATGCTGAAACAAGACAATATACTTATTTGTGTACTGGGTCTTTTCAATAACTTTAAAAAACTCATTCATTTATCCACTCATTCATTTCTTTCATTCATTTAATAATATGATCGTATTTATAAACTCTTTCAATTCGATTTAAAACAATTTGTATCTCTTTTGCCTGCTTGTTTATTTAAAAACGAAATAAATATCGCCTAAGATTTAATAGCTGTTATGCATATGAGCTCCTTCAGGTAAAGTAAACACTGGATCAATACTCACATACTTGTTGACCTACTTCATTATGGAATGTCGCAACAGAAAAATCCCCGCATAAATATAGTTTTTGGAATCGTAGTCATAGTGACAACAAACAGACATTGAAAGATAGCTGCAATGAATTTGGGATTTCCCATAGATATTTAGGGCTAATAGGAAGTAAAATCTTTCCAGCAGTTTTCGCCATGGCTAACAGGAGAGGTAACAGGTAAGCTTATGAAACTATTTACTATGTACATGTTACATTTATTGAAATTTAGACGCATACCTTTTGGGACGCAAGCCCGGGTGAAATAATGATCGATCTCGCAACAGCAAAGTGCTTAAAAATTATATTAAAGGTATTTCACCTTCCCTTAATACAAAAAGGTTCAAAATGTGAAAAATACACCCCATTTCCATAGCTTTTTAGATCGATCTTTCCCTGTGGGGAGTCTCACTAGATGACTGTCAACTTGGCCGGCGTAAGCGTCTGTCCACTAAAAGCTGTAAGGGGGTAATTAACTATGGTTCGCGCTCGTCTGACTGGAATTTAGCGTGAACCTCCAGGGAGTTAGGTCGATCTAAATGTTAATCCCTGGATCGATCTAAATCTCTGGAAATACACCCTTAATCACCCGGCTTATCTTCAGCAAGATCTACAAATTACAAATCAGTGTCCTCTACAGAGGTTCGGGGCGGTTCTCATAAACCAATCGTACTATCTGAATCGATGAACTTTACAGGGTTTTAGCCAAATTGCATTCAGTGTAAGCGGATTAATTGACTGACACGCCTACTCAAGCTGCTAGTGGGTGATTAACGATAGTCAATTACCCCTTAGTTACTCAAGGGGGCTTATGGGAACGCAGTCACAAGTTTCAGAGGTCACTGGAAAGTCACCCCCTGGAAAGTTCCTCGGGATCTACCTTAACATTTGTGTTAATTAAGCTACACGTATGAGCAGAAACAAATTTGGGTATAAACGAAAAAAGTGCTATATTTTAATGTTTTAGACTTTTTTATCGTACGTGAAAATTGACGGAATGTACCGGCATTATATTTACCCAATAGATGACCTTTCTTAAACATTTTCCGAATTTTTGAACAAAAAAAAAAGACTTAAACATCTAAATTCACAGACATGTTTGTCATAGTGTCTATATTCTACGGTTAACTCAAGGGTTAGTCCTTCCACGGAACTTTTTATTAAGCCCTTTTTAACTAGGTCAGTTTACATATAGACCTTCTGTTCATGTTTACCTTCAATTTTAGATATCCTCCGTGTGAACGACGACCGAGACGAAACGTTGAAAATACTGCAGATATGGAAAAATTCTCAAAATACTTAGCAGAGGTGCTACCCCAGGAGATGTTTTTCATGAAAATGTTTCACCAGGTAGTTAAAAAACTATTTGGGATTGATTTAGTTCGGGATGAAAGGAAAATCAAAGAGATGTGTAAAATTCTCAAGGATGCAATTATTAAATCCAGTGGTGGAGATAAAACATCAGAAAATGGACTACTTGCACTTATGGGGAAATATTATGGTGACTTTGTATTTACAAACTTCGGGTGTTATAATCATTATCCTCATGAATATATCGAACAGATTTGCCACAATATAGTTCAAAAGTTATTAGGGCATTTTTTTCCAGAGATGAAAGATGCGACCAAAAGCTTACAGCTCAAGTTTCTGGGTAGCTTTTTTGACGGCCTTGGGATCCCATTTTTGTTTGACAGGAAGCATAAAGCTCACCTTGAAATATCAGATGCGGATGTCATGCTAGTACTGACATCGCCATTTTTTCCCGCAGTAACGTCTCGTAGAGAGCAGGCAGCGTTGTTTGTTGATGGTCACAACTGCCATCCCGGTTATGTCAAACTCAAGTTCCAGGGCGAACAGCATTGGCTTAGTGTGCCAGGCATTTTGGTGCGTGATCAAAATGGGGATGTATGTCTGAGCAACAGAATCATGCAAAATTGCGTCCAAAACCCGATGCCCGGGTTAGAAAAACTGAAAATACTTTGGAAAATGCTTAATGTCAGTTTTAATGGTCCTGCGGTATCGTACAAATTGCCAATTTTTTCTGGTGTCAAACGGAATATTGTTCTGACAGGCGATCTTGTGGGATCATTTGCGTGGAATGAGTTTCCTCATGAAGCACACGAGTGGCTTAGTCGCAAGAGATCGAGCGGTTGGCCTAGTACGGAGCAAGTTAGGACCGTGAAAGAATTTGGATGCCATCTTGTTCCAGTTGCCAATCCTGGTGATCGAGATAGTCCAACCGAATGGAGGATCTCTTTTGTTTTAGGTGAGCGTCATCTTGCCTTATCCTTAAATCAAGGCCAGCGCCGTGTTTACCGCATCATAAAACTGATACATAAACAGAGGCTGGGGGACCTCGGCGTCCTTTCTACTTACCACCTTAAGACAACGTTATTCTGGTTATGTGAGCGCATCCCACAGGAAAGGTGGACAGAACAAGAGATGGGGCAACGTTTTTACGATTTTCTCGACCTCTTGATTGATTTTCTCTCCAAGAAGTGCATTCCAAACTACTTCATACGGGAAAACAACATGATAGATTACATGATTGAACAATTAGTCAATGAAAATGTTGAAATTTTGTGCGAGATCCGCAAAAATCCAAAAGCAATCCTCGACGAAATCAAAGCAACATATGACCTCCGCTTTGATCTAGTGGAATACTTGTTGTCAAAAACTCCTTTCAGGGATGTTTTGGAGGAGCTTGAAACACAGCAGGTGCGCGCAGGATCACCAGAGGATAAAGGTGCAGGAGACTTGCTTAAAGTCATGAGAGAGATACTGATCGACTCGTCAGAAAATGACTCGGACAGTGTCTTGGGGGCAGTCGGGGGAGCGGTAGACGCCTTTTCAAGGAAAGACCCGGACAGTCCCTTTAAACTAATGAAAGAAGTTGGAAAGGGGTTGTTGAAAATAGCCTTGAAAGATAAAGTCGAAGCAAAAGCAAAACGAACAACTCACTCAGCTTGCAATGATAAGCATGGGACGGCAGCGAGAGGAAAGGTGGACAGTCCCCAAACAACAAACATTGCAGAAAACACAATACAAAGAAAGCATGTAATAGTGACTGACTCAATAGGACAGTACCTTGATGGCAACAGGATGGGCAGATCCTACGTGAAAGTACTGAGAGAAAAAACTATTACAGACGCACATGACTATATAATCAAATCAAACCTGGGAAATCCAGAATCTTTGACTTTTATTGTGGGGACAATTAGCATTGATCACCAAAGTGTTGCAGACACTGTCGAAGAGTTGCACCAGCTGCGACAGACAGCAGAAACGAAATATCCAGACTGTGAAATGTATTTCACGGGGATCCTGAATCGTCAACATAATCAAAGTTTTAACGAGAGAGCACAGCGGTACAATGACCTTGTTCAAGCAGAACTCGGAGGCCAACAGAAAGTACATTTTATCGCAGTAAATGAGGTGATAAACTCCCCAGATTACTACAGGGAAGATGGGTTTCACCTCAGTAGGAGGGGCACAAGCCTACTAGCACAATGTTTAATGGATGCACGCACTACTGCTCAACCGCCATCTTCTACCGACCGTCCATAAGTTTTAAACCAGGATTAGACAAAATATTCTTAGCAAATTAAAAGAGATCATGGTGGTTTTGACTGCTTTATCGCCCTTATTGTATTGTATTGTATTGTATTGTATTGTATTGTGCTTTACTATACTGTAGTGTAAAGGTATTGTGCATTTATGTAGTAGCGGGTAGATATTCCCTCAATTTCCGTTATTTTGTTCTTGCCGATTGAAATGAGTTGAATTGTGTATCACTTCAGAATAAAGGGCAGCCATTTGTAGTTTTTTGGTTTAAATATCACATCAGTCCAGTGTATTTAAAGATATAAACCCAGCCTCACTTGGTGTGTCAATTAACATATATTGGTACTTAACGTACCGTAAAAGAATTTTATCATTTCCAATGTGCTAGCAATTTATAGTGTCCTTTTAAACTAGACCACTATGTGCCTTGGTAATTTGTATATAGACAATAGAAACGGTGCACCCCGTTTGTGCTTATTTTCATATTGTCAACTATATGCCTCCAAAGTAACGTGTTTTCAGTCAGTGAACATGAATCAATTTTTCAATGTATGTCCATATGGTGTGTAAACATAGTTGACTAGATTGCAATGTTATGATATCTCACTGGGCTCACTAAAACACAGGTAATATTTATATCAGTTTTAAGCATTTGTTGTACAGAGAACAAAGTTTTATTTATTAGGAAGAATAAATTCAAAGGCAGATAGGGGGTCGGAAAAACGTGAACAATATACACTTTAGACCTATATTACCCACGTAAGAACGAATAAATAGAGGTTGTTCTGTAGAGTAATAAAGAGGAGAGTAAGAGATCTGTATTGTATGGTTCATAATCTAGGAGCTTAATCCGAAACTTTTCCTGGTCTATTTTGAGAAATACTTATCTGCAATCTCATGTTCTCTTCTCATGAATTTGAATGGGTTGCCGATGGCGGTCTGAAATGAGAAACGTAAATCCCGCTCATCCATAAGAACACAGCCTACTGCAAAAAGTATGTGCTTATTTTTTCGTTTTAGAAATAAAATTCATCGTGATGAGATATTGGATACCCCACTGTTAGACCTCCAGTAGGCCAACTATTGATGTAAGTAACACCGTTTGTTTGCACAGCTGCGTCATAACAATGCTCCCGCAGATTGTCGTCTGAACCTGATACGCACTTTTGACTGATCATTGTCAAAAAAATTCCAAAGGATTTTACCGGTCACAAAAACATTCCTATGCAGAGCCCAGTGATGTATATTATGTACCACAGCTGCGTCAGCGGCCATTTTGTACATTTCGCTGACTAACGACGACACTACGCAAATCCCGAGGATACTACTAGTAGATTTCGTCGACGAGCAACTTAGAAAAAAACGAGGTAAGTGGCCTTTTAGGTTCTTCGTGAAACATGACCTAGTGACGTGCTGACTTAATTACGTTGGTAACCAAGTTCTTAGGAAACCCGATTTAAGTTTTTATTCTCATTTTTGTAAAATGTAAAACTTAAGGGTGAAGTTGGAAATGTGGGGAGACCGTACCCTCTATCAGGGTCACAGATTGTTTTTTTTCCATAGATATTCACAAATATGTCTTGACCTTATTCATGACAACTTTTTTCTGCTGTCCAACGAGATTTGGTATACAGTTTATTATTCTAGCACAATTAGCCTCTTGTATAGAGTAGGGAGACAGCGTTTGATCATATATTCGTATATATAAATTCGTTTCAGTTCAATTAAAATAGCTTAATTAAAAACGGTTGTATTTTTCATTTGTTATTATAATTTAAAACGATATTTTTCATTTGTTTGTATAAAAAGGAAATAAATATCACCTACGATTTAAGTGATACAAAGCATCTGAGCATCTAGAGGAAAGGTTAAAACTGGATCACTATAGGCTTACTTTATTATAGAATGCTGCATGAGAAAATCTCCAAATAACAATAGGCACAATTCGTTACTGAATTCATAGTGACAATAGTAGTAAGGAATCAGGCTGAGGGTTACCATCGGTGGGTGGATTCTGGGTGGATTGTTTGCTTGTTTGTTTGTTTCTCTGTTTGTCTGTTTGTTTGTTTGTTTGTTTGTTTGCTTTGGTTGGGGTAGCTATGGCAACGAACGCTTTTTTTAATTGTTTTCTTTTTTAAAACCTTGTATATTTTTCTTGTGTACTAATTTCTTTTTGACATCATTTTCTTTGTTTTTAAAAAATTCCTATCTTGTCCCTTTGGCTTTTCAGTCGCTTCTCATCTTTTAGGTAATAGTACGCTAGCACTGAAGTTTGTTTCAGTGCATTATTGGGTTGAATTGATTTATAAGCGGGTATACAAACAGTTACGCTTAGACACGCTCAACTTTCCTTGTACTTTGAATTTGTTTCATTGATACAAGAAAACAAACAAAGTTAATCTGTCCTCTCCATTTTTATTTACTTAAGTCCCTACAGCTGTTTCAGCCCGGAGGTCTCGTCAGGGGCGCAAACAGATCAAACAGACAAAATTGGAAGTAAAATCTCTATCTCTTTCTCTAAATTTAGGGTCTATTTGGCAGGTATCACCATGGATAAAAGGGGAGGCGAAAGGTAAGCTTATGAAACTGTTTACTTCGATATGTTACATTTATGACAAAATATTAATACGTCTATGTGAAATACAGGTAATGTGTACCCTCGCAACAGCGAAATGTAGTGATATAAAGATCACAGTCAGGGTTAATGTTGTTGTATTCATTGCTCTCACTGCTTCGTGTAACGATTACATTATTCATCTGTAAAATGCTTAGGAATAGATCGTAAAGCTCGTATTTATTTTTAAATAAATTACTATTAAAATAACTATACGTGAATGCCTATAGAAAAGGTAAACAATAGAGCAATAAAAACCAAAATGAATTGTGCATTAGATTTTGTAGAAAAGGCAAAAAAAAAATCCAGGTGCTTACGAATTTCAATATGAAAAGAATCGCCCCAAATAAATTAAAATGTTTTGTAATCGTAGTCATGGAGACAATAAACAGACGCTGAAATATTACGACGGAGATTTATTTCTATTGTAAAAAAGTCCTTTTCATACTAATACACATCCACTGCACAGTTAAATCGAACTCCATATTTGAGGATTTCTGGCAGCTATTGTCATTGATAAAAGTGAATGTCAAAGGTGAGCTTGCCCCATACAATTGTTCGCAACATCATGATACATGGTAGGCACCCGCCGGACAATGTTTTGCGAGTTCTTTTTTGGTGGTTGATCCTCTACCCGGTACAGGCAGGCGCGATCTAAAATCTGAGTTTCCTGCGATTACCACTTTGCAAATATTTCCAAAAAAAGTGCTTCAGTTTTATCGATTGTATTTTTCAGGGTTTCAAAGGTTTTTGAAATGATTAATATCAGTATTATGACCAATATCCTACCATTGTATGACCATGCAAGACCCCGAAATTGTGCAGCAATACAATTAATATTGACCAACATGCCTTTTTTTTAAGGCTAAGAGGTCCGCCAATTGCAGGGTTACTACTTAATATGAAGCAGTCACACTATACCAAACCCACAAGAGTAAAACGTTTTCTTAATTTCCAAAGCCTGGCAATCTTGATTGTTTTTGTCATATAAAACTGCATGTGATAACTTGAGGGTAGGAGTTCATGAATCCGAAAACTTGAAGGATAGGACTACCAGAAATGTAAAGTGTCGAAAGAATCTCCAGTTACTTTACATCGGACACCATGCAGTTCCTAATTATGAAGTGCTGTTATAATGGCAAATAACGGCGGTCTGCAGCTTTCGAACGTTTATTCACCGACTCGCTTTTCATACAATTTCATAAGTATTTAAACTCTATATCTCCGTACTGATTTTTTTTATCAGATTTATTTCTACAATAAAGAAACACAAAATAAACTAGATGATGTCGATGGGTTGTCATCGCATCTCCCCGTACTTCCCCATATTATCAAGAGCAGCTCAGCCCTATAGGGACCACTTACCACATGCACGTACGCGCACACATGCTCACACATCACTGCTTCATCCAAAGGTATCTAAAAATATAAATGTAAAAAAATATTCATAGATATAATAAATAAATTTAAGCCCAGGGACAGTTCAATTCCCAGCCACTCTAAAATTGCAAAGTGCCCGTGCACATCCCTGATGATGGGTAAACTAATTACCAAAATTTCAGCTTCCTACCTGCAATGGTCTAGCAGTAGATAGCAGAAATTACAATGCCATAAGAATTCAGAATCAACCAACCCCCGGGGACAGCCCAACCCCCTGTTGTACTAAAATTCCAAAATGTACATGCACATCCCTGATGATGGATCTTCCAATTCCCATTGTTTCAATTTCCTATTTCTAACGGTCTAGAAGGAGATAGCAGAAATTACAATGTCATAAGTATTAAGAACCAATCACCCCCAGGGACAGCCCAATCCCCTGTTGCACTAAAATTCCAAAGTGCCCATGCACATCCCTGATTATGGGTAAACTATTCACCAAAGTTCAGCTTCCTAACTCTAACGGCCTAGGAGGAGATAGCAGAAATTACAATGTCATAGGAATTTAGAATCAACAACACCCGGGGACAGCCCAACACCCTGTGGCACTAAAATCCAAAGTGCCCATGCACATCCCTGAAGATGGGTTCACCGATTCCCAAAGTTTTAACTGCCTACCTGCAATGATGGGTCTAGGAGCAGATAGCAGAAATTACAATGTCTTAGGAATTTAGAATCAACCACCCGCAGGGTACAGCCCAACCCCTGTGGCACTAAAATTTCAAAGTGCCTATGCACAACCCTGATGATGGATCTTCCAATTCCCATAGTTTCAATTTCTAATCTCTAACGGTCTAAGAAGAGATAGCAGAAATTACAATGTCTAAAGTCAATCAACCCCAGGGACAGCCCAATCCCCTGTTGCACTAAAATTCCAAAGTGCCCTTGCACATCCCTGATGATGGGTAAACTAATTACAAAAGTTTTAGCTTCCTATCTGCAATGGTCTAGG